TTGTAATAAATTTTAATAGCAAATAATTCTCGATCATGATTGGCTAATTTTGGGGTGAAACCAAATCGGTGGATATGATTACATACGATGTAAATCGATTTTTACTATAACGATGACAAAGAAAAAAATTCGAATTTGTATAATAATTTACTAATGCATTTGGTAAAAAAAAACTATCCTTATAATGGCAAGACTCATAAGCAGGTGATCTGCATAAAATCTCAAAATCTGATTGGTCGCCCACTGCCCCCTTTTGCTGTGGGGGGTCCCATATATAACAAGTTCTGTAATAATATTAAACAAAATTTTTTATTATGGTTGCAATAATATATAACTTCGCTTTATTATATATATACACGTTTAAGTGAAACGAAACTAAAATTAATTTGAATCCACTTAGATTGAAACATAATGTCTACCCAAAAATCTAATCCTTACCCTAACTCTAATAATTCAGGTTCCGTTTCCACTTACAACATATATATTTTCAAAGGTTAGCCCATATCAATTAAGACTTGTTTTACAAGCATATAATATTATGGGTATAATCAGATATTCAATGCCTTTGAAAATAAAAATAATGATTGATAAAGTAATTGACTATATAAAGACATATACTTTAAGGCGGTTTACTGCTTATTATTATTCATTTCGTCATTGCTGCTTGATTAGACAGAATACATTACTTAAATCAACAGAAAATATGTAGGTTTAAATAGAAAATAAAGGCAAAAGAATTTTACAAATTTAGTACATATTAAATATGTTGCACAAGAGCTGACTCGAAAACGAAAATATTCGTGAGGAAACATCTCGATCAAAAAATGAATAAAAACGCGCAAATAAATTGAATATTTAACACTAACTCTGCATATAAAAGGTAACCAGTATTAGTGATTATTCTGAATAATTGATAAAATATCAAAAATCATTCCAAATCAAATATTCCTTCAGTGTCGTTAAGCATCGCTTTTACATAAATAAAATAAATAAATAAATATAAATTAATTTAACAATATGAACAGATATAATATATTATGAAAATTCTTACCTAATAATTGCATAACCTGGCTGGCAGGTATAACCAAAACTCGACCACCCCAACTACTAAGACTACCACTTTCATTACTCGCTTCTGTCTCATTTCGTTGTATAATATCAGAAGCATCAGAGATATCATTTTCTTCGCATTCAGGGAACCAAATCTTTACGTCATCGTCAATCCCAGAAGTGCATAATATGGGAAATGAAGGATGAGGTTGAACACAATTAACGACTTTCTGTAAATTAGAAACTTAATTAGGAAGCAAGTTTACTAAGGGAGCGAAAGGACGAAATAAGAAGTTAGTTACCGAGTCACCCTTCAACAGATTAACCACTTTGCCAGTATATCGATCCCATATAAATATTCGACCATCATCCGAACCAGACATAATATATTCAGAATTGGCACCAAAGAAATAAGCCTCTTTAATCTATACAAAATAATCGAAATAATCGAAATAATTAGAAAATCATCAATAAAGTTCACAAAACAACGATAATTATTATTAAATGAATAATAATAATAATAATAATAATAATAATAATAATAATAATAATAATAATAATAATTATTATTATTATTATTATTATTATTATTATTATTATAAATGACACGAACCATAGTCCTAGAATTAAGATGCCCACTATAAATTTTAACAATATCCTCATCATGAGCTTCACTGTCATCAAAATAACCATCAGAATCATCATCAGAATCATATACGTTATCGTCGTTAATATCATCATCATCGTCTACATCTTCCAGACGTACATTTTGCGGCATGCTGGAAAGATCCTCGGGTTCAACTTCAGGTATTGATGATGGAGTTGAGCCACCATTATCATTATTACTGGATTCAGGTATAGAAGTATCAACATCCATTTCATCATTCTTCAAATCAATATCATTATCATTAATAATAATATCTTTAGGTTTATTATCAACAAGGTCAGAATCAACGACTTTATTTCTTTTTTGCTTTCTTGATATTCTAAAATCGCCATTTCGAGATTTGCAATTGTTATTAAAACTGTTACCAGGTCTAATTAAATAAACTTTTTCACTACTATAACTAATACACAAATCACCACCACCATTTGGATCAAATTTCATACTAGTCATTCTATGACGATTAAATTCATCTCTTCGTTGATTTTGACGCATTTGTGTAGGAATAAACTGATAAACTTGACCATCTCTATGATAAGGAATATCAGAACTTGAAGAAGGAGTTCTAACAAATCTTTGATCATATATACGAACAGTATCATCACCACAAGCAGCAGCAAAATAAATAGGATTATCAGGCCTAATTGAAATAGCGGTGACACTCATATCTTTTGCAGAACGGAAAGAAAAAGTACGGCGTCTTCGTTCAGAAAATTGTTCAGATTCAGGTTCACTAAGAGAACGAGAATCATCACCATCAGTAGATTGACGAGTACCTCTTCTACCTTGAAAATTATTCTGAGATTTTCGAGATTGACGACGTACGGGGTTCAAATCAAGAAATAAATGACGTTTACAATGGTTGCAAAGGCAAGAATTAGAGATACGGAGATCGTATTTGTTGATGAGACCGTCGTCGGCACAAGAGAAAAATATATTTGGATCAACGGGATCAGGCATAACTTCGAATCTATTTCAAGGTGAATTCAAGATGTATTGCAGTTGGTTCTGATAACAATGCCATAATGTCAACGCACAAATAAAAATTGCAATATATAAAAATAAATTTTTATATTGAAAAAAAATAGAATAATAATAATACTTACGCCATTCCGTCATGACAACGAAAAGCAGGGAAAGGATGCCAACTGCGAGAAGGAGATTTTGATATATAGTCACTTAAATCAGTAAACAAGACTATTCCATCAGCAGAGCAAGAAACTATATGACGATCATTTGTATGAGACATGAAACGGGCAGAAAAAATGTTTGCACTATGACCGGATGGGATTGAATGGATAAGAGGAGCCTCAGGTTTATCAAATGGAGACCATATATTGAGATGACAGTCATCTATGAATTAGATGAACAAAATAATAATAATAATAATAAGAATCATTCTTATAATAGAATTTAATTAAGATTTAAATAGTATATAAAGATTTAAAATAAAAATGTTTAAATAAATTATTCAAATAATACAGAATTCAATAGACATAAAAAAAAAAAAGTAGTTTAGAAAAAGAGAGATTGAGAGCTCTTAAAGAAGATAGAGTATACCTGAACCAGATAATATGAGATCACCATTGTTGTTCCATACAACGGTGTTAACACAACCTTCGTGACCTTTTAAACTTTCAAAAGTTCTAAGCCTCTTTACAGTATATGGATCAGAATGAATAGCCTTTGTATACTGTAAACGGTGGGGATACAATTCCCGCGTAGTGAGTAGATCAACAATATGTGACTGAGAGTCGTAAGTAAAATTTGATAGTTTATGCTCCATGTCGAAAAAAGTAGTAAATCTTCGATAGGGTAACGGTAAGGAGTTTTGCACTAATAATCCGGACCTCTAATGTATTGAGAAAAGGTTGGGCCAGCACGTGATTATGAGAAAATCAATGTTATCAATTATGATAATCTATCTGATACGTATCGGTACAATCGACCAGAGCACTTTCATATTTAAAAAAATGTCGTCATAGTTATTTGTTAGATGGACATAAACGTTTCACTGAGTGGTCATTAAAATATGGTACAGTCAAACCTCTCTATAGTCACCTCCTATATAAGCACATTTTCTTTATAAGTTTATTTTATTTTATTTTTTTTTTAAACGCGAATTGGCGTACTTTATTGGTTATATAAATACATATGATTATTTACAATTAGAGAGGGTTTATATGTCTGTATTTAGGAATTGGCTCTTATGGATCTTATTCAAGACCATAAGATTTTTCCGTATTCTAATTTCTGCCATCTTTTTAACTACTTCACTCATTATATTATTTTCCTATCGGGCCTGTGTATACCAGTACCATATTTTATATATAATATTAATATGTAATCATTTTGCTGTTACTCTTTTTTTGCTATCTAGTATATTGTGTGTAGTGAAGATTTTCTTCATATTTTGTGAACTTGGGTTTGCTACTGTATTTTTTAGGCAGTGATATCCCATTTTCCAGATTATTTGGCTAATGCCACATTCTAATGCAAAATGTTCTGGTATTTGTTTTTTCTCTAGGTAGTTAGAACAGCTTCTATCTATATTTTGGTTTATATATATAAGTCAGTACTTTAATAAAAGTGCTCTATTTTGTAATTTCTAGAAGTTATCTTTTTTCTTGTTTATTATTTTTTTTACTTTTTATTTATTCAAAATAATTTGATAAGTCTTTATATAAAGTTAGTAGTAATTGTGATGCTATAGGTTATATAAAAAACTGTTTTAAGAATTTGGTTGCTTTCTTAACTATAAATTGATTCCTAGGTTGTTTGCACAGTTTTAACTATATAAGCTCCTATAACCAATTATAACTATATCTTTGAGTCTTTTCTAGGCTGTTATATATAAGTATCAGCTTTCAAACCAGTCTTTAAATTTAATTGTAAATCTAGTTAAAGCTGTTGTTATTAAGATCTTTCTTTTATTCTGCATATATTATGCTAATAATATTCGTTTAATACAGGCCCAGTAGCTATTGGCTATTAGTAATTTTAACCAAATAAAGCAAAGCCTATCATTAAGGATATCTTTAAGTACTAGGGTATTTAATTCTTCTCTATTATAATCCAGTTAGAAGATTAAGTATCAAAAAAGTAATTTGGATTTTTTTTTGATTCAGTTAGAAATCAGAGTATTAATTTTGTCAAGTTGTTTTTTTTTGAGTAGAAGCAAATATACTAAACCAAATTTTGGAGATAACTAGAGTCTTTGAAAGTAAGATTTTTCTCTTAAATGACAGATTTCTGCTAGAAATTTTTTCAATTTTGTGCTTAATGTTTTGAGTTAGATCTTTCTATAAATGTTTTATAGATGCACTCTTTTGATCTATTTTATAGTCTAGAATTTTAAGCATAATATTATCTTTAACCTTTTTAAATAAACTTTGGTTTGGTAAGTTTGTTATTTTGGCTATATTAGTAAATAGTACTATTAAAGATTTTTTTTAATTAATCTTTGCATTGGCTGCTACTTTATACTTTTGCAGTATCATTAAAAGCCTTTTCCAATCTAACTAGGATTCAATCTCTACTATTAAGTCATTAGCATATACTATAAAATAATAATCTGAAGTTTTTATTCTATTTAGCTCTTTCTAGATTTTTAGAATAAGTGGGTTTAGTGCTAGAATATATAGGAGAGGTAAAGTGGATCATCTTGTCAAACTTTTTTTTTTACTTTGGTTGGTTTTAATATAAAGCTAGAGTCTGTAATATGTACTATTTGAAGGTGGAATAAGCTTTTAATAATATTTATGAATTTGATATCAAATCTTAATTTTTCTAGATCTTGTAGAATGAAGCTATAGCTTATTTGATCAAAAGCTTTTGCTAGTCAAGTAGTAGTAACTAATATTTGACTGATTGATCTATTTGATTTCTCATAGTAATAATAATATTAAGTATAGCATTTGTAATTGATCTTCTTTTTTAAATGCTTATTGTAAAGGTTTAATAATCAATTTACAGATAGTGTTAACTCTATTGGCTAAGATTTTTATAAAAATTTTTATATTATAGTTTGTAAGTAAAATTGGTTACTAGTTATCTAAGTTTTAAGATTGTCTAATTTTTTTGGAATTAATAAAATAATACTTTTGATTCATGATCTAAGTAGAATATCATTTTTCAATTGGTAATTGAAAAGATCTATAAGTATTGAAATTATTTCTTCTTTAAATCCTTTATAGAATTCATATATAAGACTATCTAATTCAAGAGACTTGTTGTTTGGAAGTTGGCTTATAATACTACTAACTTTCTTTTTAGTAATTAGATCTATTAATATTTGATTTTGGGCTCTTGAAATCTGTATTAAATCTTGGATAAAGTAATCTGAAACTTTTAAATTATTGGTCTTAGCTTTGTATATATCTTGGTAAATATTTTTTATAGATTGTAGTTTGTTAGTTAAACTATTTGTTTGATACTACTTTGAAATTTAGATTTTGTTGTTTGCAAAGAAATCATTTCAAAGCTTGTATAAAAAAAAAAATTTTGTAGATTTTTCTTTTTCCTCAACCCACTTCAGTTTGATATTTGTCTAAAAGAGCTTGAAGTTCTTCATATAACTAAATACTAGTATGCTCTCTTATTGCTAAAAGAGGTTTTGATCCTTCTTCTTTAGCTATTCTATTGTTTGTTCTTGTTAGTCTTTTTTATAGTTTTTAAATTTTTTTTTTTGATAAAGATTGTAATCTATATGCTCTAATTATAAATTGAATTCTGTATTTGTAAAGATTCTATTTTGAAAAGTTTGTAATACTTTTAATTTTCTTAATTAATTCTCTTTTAAGTGATTGGTTATTGAAACTATTCTTATTGAATCTTTACTGTTTGGTCTTGAATATTTTTGAAGTTAGATATAGTTTATATTTTATCATTAAGTGATTAAAATTACCAAACTGAGTTGTAATCTTTTTATAGTAATAACTATAGTTAGTATTAATGAAGATATAGTTAAGTTTTGTAGCCATTGTATAACTACCTTGTATATTTTAATAATATGTTATGAAAGATTTTGTATAAGCTATAATTAAGATTATATTAATAAAATTTACTATTAGATTTAAGAGCAAGTTTTTTATAGAGTTATTCACTACTAGTACTCAATTTATTTTATTTTCTTGTAGGTTGAGGTTTATATTAAAATCTCCCACAAAAATAGTAATATATCTTTTTATTTGTTTTTAAAAACCAGTTATTAAAAAACCTTATTCTTTCTTCTATGTTAGAAGGTGTATAAAATATTGATTAACTAAAAGTTTTGGTGCTTGTAAGTAAAATTTGTTTTTGTTATTTAACTATTGTATGTTTTCTTTGTATTAGTTAGTGTTATATTTCTATTTCTTGCTAAAATTGTAGTTTTAAAAGACTAGTATAAACTAAACTTCCATTGTTGTTGCAGAAAATTCCTTATATTTATACTCTCTAAATTAGTTTTCTGAATTATAATTAGATCCAGATGATATAATTTTAGTAATATAAGTATTTGATGAACCTTATTTAAGTTATTTAGTCTTTTAATATTTAAAGTTGCAATTTTAAGTTTGTTGACTATTTTAGTAATATATGAAAGTGTAGGTGCTATAAGTACTAAGTTAGATTCTGTTTCTCTTAGGCTCAGATAAAGGTCTGGACCTAGTTCTATTTATAGTTAAGATTGATTTCTAGAGCTATTTTTGTTTTTTTCTTAGATATTACTAGCATAAAACCTTCTGCATTTATATTATTAACTTTCTTTTCTAAACTAGTCTTATTGTAGAATAATACCAAAGAGTTTTTAGTTGTATTTTTCTAATTATTGTCATTTCTAGTCTTAGTAATTATAGGTTTTACTTCTGTTTTAGCCTTAGTAGTTGTGAATTTTACTTTTACTTTGACTTCTATATTATTTAATATAGAAGTTTTTGCTATATTGGTTTCATGAACTTCTATATTAATATCTTTATTTATTTTCAAGCTTATTATATTTGTGTTCATTACTAGTATATTAGTAATCATCGATATTTTTTGATTCTTCATTATATAGATTTCTATACTTAATATCAAAAGTAACTTCACATTTGTTTTTGTTTTTGTATTCTTTGCATTTTGTATTCTTTTTGCAATTCTCTTAAAACTACTAATATTTTATATTCCTGATACTCTTTTTTGGTATGCTTTGTTTTGTTACAAAAGTAGCATAGCTTTGAAACTTTTTTCTAGTTAGTTGTAACTTTTTGGTTATATATATATATAAATCTAGAAATTCTTGAAGTTAGATCAAAATTATCTGTTGTTTTAAATATTACTATCTATTGGTTTATAAGAACAGAGATACTCTTATAAACTAAAAGCTTAATAGAAAAAATATTGCCAATATTTTTAAAAGCCTCTCTAATTTTTTCTGAGATAAGTTTTTTTCTATCTATTAGCATATTGCAAAGTTAGATTAATAAAAGCTTTGCTTAATATTGATTAAAATATATTTTTAAAGAGTTTGTTTAAAAATTACTATACCTTTAGTAGCATAAAACTATTATTTCTTTTTATTGGCAAAAATGATTTCTAAATAAAATTGTTTGTTTTTAGTGAAGATTGGCTTTATTGAAATAAGATCTTCTCCAACTTCTGTTGCTATAGCTTCAACAATATTAGTAGTGGAAATATTCTCCAAGTTGTGTACTTCAAAAATTAGTGTATTTTCATTTTTCATATTAATTCTCTTTCTTGGAGCATAGGTTAAGAAGGTTACTTTGTCTTTTTTGAGTTTGAAAAATAGGCTTGACTATTATTTGA